TGTTTACGAAGGAAGAAATCATCTATATGATGGGATCTAAAAACATAAGAAGGTCGGTGACTTGTTGCCAGGAAACTACACAATTGCCAGTGACACAGCTCATGCAACATGCGAAGGCAACCATCCAAAAACATGAGCACGATCTATCATGATTTCATGATATAAACAAATTATTATCATATGTGCCTCGCACGTCCCATACGCAGCCTTGCCAACCATAGTCATTGCACCCATCCCCTTTGCCATTACCATCCAACACTACAGTTGAGGGAATTAAAAAGAAAGCATGTGCATCCATCTCTCACCACATGTGTAAACTGTTAAAATACTTTTTTTTTTCGTTCATGTGTATACATCTAACTAAGCAGTTCAATATCCTATGACTCCACTAGCTGTATCCATTACCTGATATTTCCAAATTGGAGACAAAGATCTGTATGATAATAGCAGCAAATATAACCATCACTTCCTTACTGGTAATAAAGGAACCGGGCCCAAGATAACACATATGCCGCACTCCTAAAAAAATAGTTAACGCCTCAAAAAATTCAAAACCTCAACATCTCAAGGCCTCCATAAGTAGCAATCCATGCCATCACAAAGTGGAGAATTCTTCAGAAATCCACTAAAGGAGTGTATACATATTGCATGATATTGAGTTTCTAAATCAAGCTATCATAATATTCTTTGGGCAAACATTTGACACAAATAATAAATCAGAATCACATATTGCTAAGTCTCTTAGAACTACATCAAATGTTGAAGTGCAAAATAATATACGAGGAAAACAAAAAGAAACATCTGTGATCTACAATCAAGACAATGGACCTGGGCTTGTAACATTGGGATGGCGGCACTCACAAGTGCACACGCTTCTGGATCCTTTCACCGCCCGCTGTGACCTTCTAGTGTGAAGCTTGATGTTGACCAGCTTACCTGCCATCTGGTGAATCACCAGAAAATGAAGGAAAGCAAAATTCAGGACTCTATTACCTTTCATACTGCAACTCGCAGATGGCATAGTCAAAATAGATGAAGACCCCCCTCCAACCAACCAAAAAAGAAGAAGAAAATACTAAATAATAGCCTGTTCACAAAAAGAAAGGGATTAGTGAAGCAACCTATTGCATGGATAAGTATTAGCAATGAAGCATCATGAGTGAATCAAAATGTACAACAAGAAATATAATGAGCAGTAACAATGACCAACTCTATAAATCTTAACACAAGTAAATGACTGCAATGAATAAAAAGAATGTCAAAAAAATTATGGGACTTTCAGCCTAGAGAAATCCATTTGATTATATCATACAAAGTGTTTCTCCTACTTCACCCGAATAAGGTGTTTTCTTTGCAATTCACTCAAAGAAAGTTGAATTTTGATCCACAGAAAGATTTTTAAAAAAAAAGTGGTATGATAGGAATGGAAACCAATCCTTAAAGAATTTAGTTAGTTAGCACAAAAAAATCCAACCGTCACAAAAATAAAAATAAAAATAGGAAACCAGTACTTCATAATAATGAAGACAAAAATAACAACAAACCAAAGAGAAGCAAATGTCGAACCATTCTCCAGACTAAATCTTCAGGACCTAGCGGCTGAGCTGGATGAGAATAAACAAAATGCCTTGCGTACTGCATTCATAAGGAAAAGCATTTATTTTTCTAGCCATTCTATGAAATGAAAGACAATGCTACTTCTAAGAGATAGTCTCAACCTAAAAGTCTACGTACCTTAGCTAAGTTCACTTGCATATCTTTGATTTGAGCTGCACTAACACTTTTTAGAAATGAGAGAAGCCATCCTGGTTGCAAAGCATCACTAGAAGAGACGAACAGAGCAATCTGCCAAAGAAAAAGTGATAAACAAGAGCAAGAGCCTCATACATAGTATGCAATTTCATTTCTTCATCTCTTCCCCTCCATGCTCACTCTCGAGAAGGGATGAACTTTGTTGGGTAAAGAGGTGGTAATTACGATTGAAAAGAAGGATGAATTCCAGCTTTAGTACAATTACATTCAAATACAGAAATCCATGTCATACAACACTCGAAGAAGAGGTAGTTGCTAGAAAAGTAATGGGCCGCTCCCTAGTAAACTACTACACATTGATAGATGTAACTTCCTTGTAGACAACCAAAAACTACTATAGATTGAGATACGTAACTGCCTCTTACACCATCAACATTACAACTGGCCTTGAACTGATACTGCAGCTTTTGTTGACTAGGAACACTTCCTATTATGGGTTTCCAATTAAGAGGATTCATCATGTTAACCTTGTACTAGGGGCTTCGCAAAAGTCTGGATGAAAAATCTCCTCTAAAAAGAGAGCCATTACCATAGCCTTATTTGCTTTGAAAAACATTTCACCTTTTTAACACTTCTCCAAGAGACTGATAGAGATTGAAATAAGAGTTCCAAAGTAACTAATACCTTCCGATAATCAAGAATCCCCTCAAAAGGAAGCTCTAGTTCATCGCTAACTATGATAGGAATGCAGCCACTGACAATTGCATCAAACAATCTCGCTGATGATGGGGTGTCACCAGCTGGACTTAGGCAAAATATACTCCTGTTTATCCAAGGAAATAAATATAACAGAACAAATTAACGTTTGAACTGATGAACAAACTTCACTTCCAGAATTTAAAGATACACTCAGACAGTCTAAATCTTACTTGCGCATGCCACTCTGTGCTGCTGCTTTTCCTCCTTCTCCAGCAGTCCCCTCCTCAATGAGTACTCCATCTGTACCATGGAGCTCTTCCACAAGTTTGGAACGTATCTTCCCACCCTGAAAAGAAAGATATCATTAGCCACAACATACCATAATTCTAACCACTCTGGAAAAATACTCATTCTGAATAACACAACAAACACAGCGCATGGAATGCTTAAGGAAAAGCAGATTCAGAGTCCATTGCTTCTAATTGTAACTATGGAAACTACTACAGTAACAAATTAAACCTTATAAACCAATTCCCCCCCCCCCCCAAAAAAAAAAAAAAATTAGCCTAGCAGTAATAAATCTAGTTATAAACATTCCATACAACATGGCAATAGTTGGGCATCACATTCTGCACCCTAGCAGTATAATCATGGTATACAAAACAAGGGAAAATAGAAAAGTTGTTAATCTGGTTCACAACTGCAAAGTAATTGATAGTTCGGCATCCTCCTGCTGTATAGCATGGAAAAAAATTTCCTTTCACCGTCTCATTCATTTATAATCAAGAATGTCGTGTACTGTGTATATATAACTTTGGAAGGTTACAAGGTAGCATCAACTACACTAGAAACTTCAGTTCTTTATTTCATAACGGGAATCTCAAAAGAGTGAACAGTGTTGCAAGATTGACTGTCCATGTTCTGCCCTAGCAATATTAAGCAACCGGTTCCTAGCACGATTTAGCAACTAGTTCCTACCGAGATATTCTCTTAAGATGGAAGGAAATAAATAAGTTGTTATTCTAGGATTTCACAATTGCACAGACGTTTGCATCATCAACTAGCTTGAAAGTCCTTTTTCCACCATTTCTTGCCCTGTCCTCAAATATTCTGAAATCTGCAGATGTCAGGATATTTATTATTAAAGGTTAACATGGTAACCTAGAACCTATTTTACTGTCGTAGGATAGCCCCAAATTTTCCAAAACATCATAAGATTCCATCTTTAACCAACTTAGAACATGAGCAGTAACATCAACTTAATGTGAAGTGGTAAACAAACTGAATATAACTTGCTGATTAATACAGGGTGAATCTTACAGCATTTCTTTTAAGTCTCCCCCGGAAAAATAGCAGCATAGATCTCTTTGATGCAGATAAACATTTTGCATCACATAGATCGACATTGGCAACATAAGGAAGTATCAGGTCTTTCTCGAGATAAACTTGCCCAGGCTTGTACCTGAAGTTCAAAGTAGCCACAGTAGATGATGTAGAGCTACAATAATTTCGATATAGAAATTAGCAGTGAAGATACTAACCAGTTCCCTGTTGAGTCCATATCTGGGAGCAACCAAATAGCTTTCTTCATAAACTTGCGGACAGATTTGAAAGACCAAGGATGATGAACTGGAAGTATGTGATCTCTTCCCTCAGATCTATTCCAAGCTGGTTGATCCATAACCCATTTCAAAGCTTCCTAAATTAAGAAAAGTAATAACAAATATTGACTTACGACAATGCCACGGCTAGACAAAGTCTAGCATCATCTTCCACTAACATAAAAAAATCTTTAATCCTATCACAGATCTGAAGTTCTATTTAAATAGACAAAAAGTATCAAAAGTTTAAGATGTTTGTTCAGGTGTTCAACCATAAGGATGTGAAACTAGAAAACTAGCAGTTACTCTTTTAAATTTGATCATGATAGGCTATATCAAAAAATTTGTGTAGGTACAAGTTTCAAGCATCGTAAATGGAAGAGGGGAAGGAACAATCATTTAAAATACACATTGATACTAGGTTCCCCACTCAGAACTAAGTCAATTAACCAATTGTAGGACAAGTTTACAAGTTTTCCTTCCAACGGGAGAATTTTCTGTCCCTTTTCCCCCAAGTCTGCAAACAGAGCATTATAACGAACACAATGTAAACGCCTAAGACTAGGTTATGGGACTGAGAGCTCGATGCAGTAGAAGAATTAGTATGCTTCATCAAATAAAGAATTAGTATGCCTATGAAATAAGATTAACAAAGAAAATGTAGCTTTGATTGCAGTATTAGAAATTTGGACCAGACTGATTCCCAAAATATAATCAGGATTGTGCTTCAGTCAAAAGCAAAAGTTGCACAGACTGAGTGCAGCTTAAATTACTCCTAATCACGGAAAATCTAACATTAAGCAAAATTCAGCAAGAAAAAAAATTACTAAATCGCGCAAGAGAATGTCAGGATTTAAGATATATAACAGTGTAATATGATTTTTACACCAATTTAACTTATTATAGCAGGTAACTTACCATTTATTCTAGGTTACCAATCAATGCTTATTAAATAATAAACTACAATTACCTTTCTGTTTATGTAAATATTTTTTACACCGTCTGTGCATATAACTCAAACTCTACGTTCAAACAGAAATAGTAAAGAATCAATAAGAAATTGGAAAAACGTTATAGAAGAGATGCACTCACACCCTATAAAGAGCCTTGCATTGCTGCTTCTCCATCAAGAAGAAGCTAATGGTAGTGAAAAACGGAATGTAGAACAGGTCAGCTTCCTCTTGCTTATGTACTCTAACAACATTCTTCAATAGCCTCTCTGATTCTGCTGCTATTAAGTCGGCCCATAACCAGTAATCAATTGAATGCTACACAAAAAATTGAAACTTTCATCATAATGGGCTAAACAAATGTAACTAACCGAATAAATGATACTTAAAAAGAACACTAAAAAATTACCTGTTCAATCAAGCGGTGAACAGGACTGCCATTAGAGGTGAGATTCGAAGTCTCTCTATACGTATTATGAAACAACCAGAGTAAGTCGTAAGTGAATTTCGATGGCATTTCGTATACGTATACTTTGAGAGGCGAAAAAGCAGGGTAAAACGGCTCATCATAAAGCCTTTGATTCTCATTTTTCCAAGCGGATTCGTCCAGGTTCTTAGCATCCTCAACTGACGTTGTTCCTGAAACAGTATCGTCACCGGCCGTCGGGGATAGCGGAGATTTGGTTAGAAATTTCTCGAGCGAAGCTACAAAGGAGTAATCGATCTCGGAGTTAGGGTTTCGGGAGGAATAGCGGGACGGGGAAGAAGAGGAGAAGATGTAGAAGAGAAGAGTGAGAGCGAGAAATGCGAGGAGGAAAAGTAGTACCGGAGATCTGGGTTTGAAGGTTCCAGAAGCAGCACTGTAATGTCTTCCGGCCATTTAGATAATTGAATCACTGCTCAACACCTTGAAGTGTATATATGTTAGAACTTGGAACCAGAAAAATAGGAAATAGCAGACTGATTACAGAATTAGTCCATTCACCAATCTGCTAGTGTAAATTGCCAAGTCCCTATCGCTCCTCTTTTTCTTTTGTAATTTCGGTTCACTGGATTTGTGGTCTGTCCTCACTTTTTTTTCTTTTTCTTTTTTACATTAAAAAATCTATTTTTACTTTTAATTCTTTATATCTTATTTCCTTTGGGTGCCGTATAATTCTTTTCCATAAGATTTTATTTTCATCATTCAATAGGTACATAACATGTGTTTGTAAACAAATTGATCTTACTTAATCATGATTAACTAATGCATGTTTCTGCCTATTCAACTAAATACAACAAAAGAATTTTGCTCTAGCATTCAATTCACTACGACATAACACTAAAATTTGTGACAGGTAAGTTCAAGAAAGTTCATTTCTTAATTAAATGTACAAACTGAAAATAAAAAGTGTACTATTTTTCTTGAGATGGCAGTAACCCAAAAAAAGGGAATGGTGGGGCAGGATAATGGATCGGATGAAGATTGAATTGTGTGAAAAGACTATTTAACCGCATGTTGACCTGAGTGACTTAAGATATTGAATTCAACACTACTAAGCAAATTTGTATTAGACCAACTAGGGACTCATCGATTGATTAATTGAACATTACGAAGGATATGTTTATGTTAATTTTATGTCCTTAATAGGTGTTGATACTATCTAATATGTTACCACAAATCACGAAATTATGGAGTATATTTGAATCCAAAGTATAACGAGGAATATATTTAAACATTTTCTCATAGTATAGGGTATAAATATCTTAATTCTCAAACGGAAGTTCACAGACACGTAAGCATCACTTAGAACAGCTGAAATGGAGCCACTACTGACATGTCTCAAAGCACTGACACGAGATCAAGAACAAATATCATCCAATATCCATGAAAAACAAGCAGGGTATATCTTTTTCAAGCAGTTAAATCCGAAAAGTTCCAACATTAAAACTTTAAGTAACTCAGGTATATGTGAGAACAAATCGACGAAGTTTCTACATTCATTTATGAAGGTTTCAATCATTAGCACAAGAGTTGGTAGAAATTGAACAAGCCTGATATTAACATCACCAAAGCCTGTGGATTCCAGTATTAAGTCAAATGCACGGGAAGGAATTCAAAATGAGATGAGATCATCTTTTGGTGATTGCTGCTTCTTTGTGTCATGTCCTGATTCAGATGTGCCACCCGCTTTTTTACCAAAAATCATCTCATCAAGATCATCCATCATGTCATCATTCCCTCCATGGACTGCAGACCGGGAGCCTGCTGGTTTTCTGATCAGAGCATCTTCTTTTCCAGCACGGGGGGACTCATCGGGCTCCACAGCAACTGGAATCATGGCAGGTTCTGGCTCTGATGAAACAACCATAGGTTTCTTCAACTCGTCGTACTTCGAGAGGGCCTTTTGGACTTCATCATTTATATTCAGGGCTTCAAAAAGGAGGGCCTCATTATCTCCAGCAGTCTCGATGATTCTCTGAACAGTATTGAGGGACTGGCGACACTGTTGTACTAGCGTAGTTGTCAAGTCATCCTGCAGAAAACAATTTGAGAGGTAGGCAACAAATTAGAGGAGTATGACCCCGATATTCAAAAAGCTAAATCCACAATCGCGAATTTATGTAAGGAGATTGCTCTATCATGCAGCAACAGCGTGACATGGGTGGCACAAAAATCATTTTCCATCTAATGGTGGGGAGAAAAATAGTGGCCTTTTCTGAGAAGCCCCTTCAACGAAACATATACCAGAAAATATTTCAAAATCTGGACACTGAAAAGATATACATGCTGACGCTGACCATATGGAATAACGTTGAGGGGTTTAAAAAAGGAACTTCCGTTATTGAGTTACTTGACAAAGATCTAGCCTACTACATCTTCACGATCACAACGCAGCTCAAGCTGAAGGCAGCGTTTTGCAGGGTAGCTCCTATAATTCATCTTCACGATCTAGCCTACTTTGAGAATATATCTTAAAGAGATTTGACTAGTGTCTTCGCTGTTTTGCAGGGTAGCTCCTATGATTAATCTATAAATCTTAAATGTTTACTCATATCACTAATTAAAGATTCAGCTGTTCAAAATGTACACACAAGTCTATAGCACTTTAAGAAACTTTTTTTAAAATTTAAAAAAAAAAGGCTAGAGCACTTTAAGAAAAGCACATCAACAACAGTCCATTCTAACAGAATTTCGGCACAAAGTGATGGAAGGCTAGCTATGAACTTCAGACTGTCAAACATAAATTTTGGCACAACGTGATGAGCACTTTAAGAAAAGCTCATCAACAACAGTCCACTCTAACAGAAATTTCGGCACAAAGTGATGGAAGCCTAGCTACTAACTTCAGACTGTCAAACAAAACTGGCATTCGTCCAATTCATGCAATTGATAAACAACTATTATAAGAAAACGACCTTGGGCTCACCAATTGTTTTGCACCTAAGGTCATTCGCGGCCTATTTTACTCTTCTCAACAAGGTCATTTTTTTCCTACTTATAAAAAGAAAAGGTCATTTTTCTTATTCTGATCCTTAAACACCAAAATAACGTATGAGCCCCATGTAATCGCATAACAAATAAACAGTAATATTGTCAACTCTTCCCCTCATAAGAGTGTAAAATAAGCCAGACAATCAACTTAATGCGGAGGGAATAAGAAAGGAACATAATACCTCAATGATAAAAAAAACATATACTGGTGGTGGGAGGTACCGAGTACCCCATGGATTAGTCGAGGTGCGTGCAAGTTGGCCCGGACACCACGGTTATCAAAACAAAAGAATCATATACTAATTACTAACTATTTGCTACATCTTGCCATATTTCAATTGCAAGCCAGCAAGATTATGATCTTTACCAGCTAAAAATGTGAAACCACTTGCCAGCAAAGTACTATGACGCACCTAGAGATATGTCCTTTGTAGAAAGCCATGTGAAGGAAGAAACTAAGAAACCAACGAATAGAAATGAGAACCACACTTGCAAACAATCTTATAACATGCACAGTGGCGACAAACCATGCACCACGATACTGAAGTTTTCCTTTACCTAGGACTTGCACCGCCTTTTTCAGTCACTACCTTTACAGTAATATGCAGTGGAATACTACCTGACGGTTTAGAGTAACATTTAATACTCATTATAAAACAACTTATAAGTACATATAAGGTCACAAAAAAGACACAGTTAAAGTACTTGATGATTCTTTTCCTTGTTTCGGGATAAATCAGAAAGTATTTAATGCTACACCATGTAGATGCCATCTTATAAAATTACATTGTGCAAGTACACACTAAGCCTCCCAATATCTAGCAAACCATTATAACATGTTAAAATTTCCTGCTTGCAGGAGTACTTGATAAATCTTTCTATCAATGCATTAGTCCGATGGGCTCTGATATTCAGTTATTTTAACCCAGAAGATTAAGCTCAAACACTATTAACCAGGAAAGGGCATATATTCCAATCCCAAATTGAATCTCTGCCCTGACATGAAAGCTTGAATTTTTTTTAAATTGATCTCCTCTACACCTGCATGTCGCTAACAAGAAGTGGTCCTCATCAAAACGCACAAGCAACAATAATTCCATCACAGCATTCCAACACTAAATGCACCAAATATAGCAAGAAAAAGCTTTAAATGAAAAGAACAAAACTCGGTCTCCGGGTGGAGGACACAATGTGTTCAACTGCATTCTAAAAACCAACTACAAAAAATTGCACGAGAAACCTAAACAGCTATTCAATGCTGCTAGTCGTAAGACCACCAAAATTCAAAACTTGCTGGTAAAAACAGAAACTATTGCACTGAAAAACTAAACTTAAATCTTCAAATGCAATGTCAAAAACCAGCTAACATGGCTGCAATAACTTGACAATTTTAACATACTGTAAATCCTTTCCCGCTCATTAAATGGATGACACTTCTTTAAGGGGACTTTTTTTATAAGTGACTCTTCTTAAGTTTTTGGAACAAAAAGATGAGAGCAAGCAAAATTGATGTCTTGTTCATTATTGTCCAGTAGTTCAATTTTTCCTTCCAAACATAACTCAGAATCTTTATACATCGCCATCATCCATTCATATTCTTCTTCACTTTCTCTTCTGTATTAATTCACATTGATCTCAATCAAATAATTGTACGTCAATCACAGATGAGCTCGGATCTGCTATAAATCCTCTGTATCCGTTATAAAGACTAATTTTATACTATCAATCCATCAATAAATCGTTGCTCAGACAATTGGTCAAGAAGTGAATTCTTTGCATAAAACAACATCACTATGTAAGTATTTGTACTGGGCAACAACTTTACCACTAGTTTCGCAAATCCAACCAGCTCATTTGGACTTGAATACAGCTAGACTTGATACTTCTTAATAGAAAATAGGCTACACAGACCTAGAAGGCATGATTTACAAATGCACAAATCACAAAGCTAGAAAGATATTTTTACATAACAAAAAGATGAAATAATAAACCCCCAGTATTAGATGTTTATGCTACGCTTGAGTAACACATGAACTAAGCACATTTAAATGAATTTTTAAGTTAATCTTGAGCTTGACTTAAATAAATTTTGCAAAGTTTGAGCTCATTGGCTAGGAACACCAAAAGCCCCTGAGGATGATCGAGTTTGAGCCTCAAACTACTCCCTCCGTTTCAATTTATGTGAACCCATTTGACTGGGCACGGAGTTTAAGAAAAGAGAGGAGACTTTTGAACTTGTGGTGTAGAATGAAGCACATATATTTTGTGTGGCTATAAATCATTGCATAAAGGTAAATTGTTTCCAAATAAGGAAAGAGGTCATTCTTTTTGAGGAAATAGGTTCACATAAATTGAAACAGAGGGAGTATATGTTTATTCTAACTATTTTAGGATCACATTTCAAAATATTAAAAACTTTGGCACAAATAACACCAAAAAGATATTTTGATTTTGTGGAAGAACATGAGCATCCAAGGTCTTGCTCTAGTGGTAAGAGAGCATTCGAGCAATGTGCGGGTTAGGCGCACATCACGGTTCGAATCATACTGCAGACAAAGCTTGGTATTTAATTGGAGAATGATAGAGGG